TTGGTTTGGAGAAAAAACGGCCGATTTGTGGGACCAAATTAATGGCGAAAGGTTCCAGGATGAAGAGGACGAACTCCTCCTTGCATGTGTGCGTTTGTGGGCATGAATAAAAATGTATTTGACCTTGTTTTCCCCTTTTTTTCTTGGTGACAAGAGTTCTCTAACAAAAAAACGCCGTTTATTTGGGAATTTACTGTAAAAAAAGGACCGTAAAAGACGAACCGTATTTTACGAAAACCGTGTTTGTGAACCTTGCTCTGCTGCCTGCCTTCCCTTCCCTTGCCTTCCCTTCCCTTGCCTTCCCTTCCCTTGCCTTCCCTTCCCTTGCCTTCCCTTCCCTTCCCGTCCCTTCAGTTGCCTTGCCTTCCCTTCCCTTCCCGTCCCTTCCCTTCCCTTCCCTTCCCTTCCCTTCCCTCACCATCTTCCTGTAACCCCACACTCCCTCATCCCACCCGCCCCGTACGGTGCTCACATGGAGCTATTGCAGAGGCAGCCTGACAGCGTCACACCCGGCACCTGGTGCTCTCTCCCTGCCTCCAGTGACAGCTCGCCTCCCACACTCCGCTCAGCACCCGACCCCTCACGCACTCGTGATGATACCACTGGCAGTGGCAGCAGCAGCAGCAGCAGTGTTGGTGTTATTAGCTGGCTGCAGCGGTTGCTATCCCCTGCACCGTGCAGCCCTCACAGACAGGTTACCATAAATACCCCCTCTGCACTCACTCCCGTAGTCACACCACTGGGAGATACTGAAAACAGTGACAGGGACACAGCTGGAGCTGATAGTAGCGAAAGCAGAGCTGGCTGCCCGTCTACAGTACATACTGCGTTAGTAGCATCCTTGGGACTAGCACCAAGCAAGCGGGCAGAGGCCGTGCTACCTCGGTTTCTCAAGTTGCTGGACACGGGCAGCTCGTGCCAAGTGCCCGAAGGGGATGCAAGGCTTACTGAGGGGGAGTGGAAAGACGGAGAAGTTCCGAACATCGAAAAGTATCAGATCTGAAACCTCAAGCAGGAGGGATAAGGCTATGCTGCCCCGGTTTGCCAAGGACTCATTTGAGCCCTAACATGTAGAATATGTATGGTATTAAGCTTGCTGGTCTATTGAGCTACGGTTCTGTTTGTATGGTACTCTTCCCTATGCAACAGATCTTAAGAAATGTGAATTGTGGGTTTTCATATTATCATATGTGCCACCAAACTAATTGATTTCGTGTACACCCAAATGCATTTTTTTTAATTGAAGAAACCCCACCTATAACCCTTCGTTATTAGAATAATTCTCTATCAATACCTGCGTAATTTTGGCGACACTTTTATGTTGTTAATTATTCAAACTCAGAGTGTACGCGACCATTTTCTAGACTAAACGGAAACTCCATCCACGATACATTTGTTTCATCCACCACGGATACGCCAGGTGTGCGTCTGCAACTGTGTTTCGCTCCCATTTTTTGGGGAAACGGACAGGTTTGGCACTTCTCAACTGGGCGAGTTCACAGCTACACGCTAGAAGCATAGCAAACCAGTCACAAAAATGGGGCAAATGCTTCGAGTCGGAAACAAGGAGCCAACACCTAGAAAACCACTTGCATGCTGCACCGTAGGTTTGCGATGAACTTGTAACGTTACAGCTAGTAGAGGTACTGGTGGTGGTAGCAGATCAATTCAGCCGCGCCGCAAATGCCGCCGCCAAAGCCAACTGCGATGCAGCCGCGAGCATGGTCGCTTGCACTCTCCGCCGCTCTTTGGCTTGCTTCCCTCACCTCTCCATGCCACGCGCAAGTCGCGATCAACGCTACGCAAGGTACCGCCGTCCCTCCTCGCACAATGCTTACTACTACCAGTGCATATAATATGTGGGCAAAGACGTGTAGGCGGCGCTCATCATGGTTTGACTGTCACGACAGGTCGGAGGTGTAAGCCCGCAGATGTAATACCCGCGATCATCTGAGGTATGAGGTAGTAACAGCGAGCAATGCGTCGCATCATCCTCCCTCAGGGAAAAATTTCCGTAAACCGGGTGGGATTTTGCGGACCAATATTTTCAAAGGCTTTCCGTACCTCGTTTAAACCTCACTGTGGAACTATCACCACGCGGTATTGCACTGACACAATGCGACTGAATACGGCACGGCACGAGCGCTACGTGTTGTACACGTGACGATACCGTTTCTAGGTGTGCGCATTTGGAGCCGATGCTTTGAGCGCGGGATGGGAGAGACCCGTCGTCACAAGAGAGAAGGGCGGAGAGCAGGGAGCGTTTCGGCGCAGGCTGTAGCAGTACTACAGCTTAATATGCCCCCCCCCCCGAAAAGTATGGAGTAGCAAAGCTGATCCCCTCTTCACATATGCACTCTTCACTTTGTGCCTCAAATGGTTCTTTATTGATAAGGGGGGAAGTACAACCAGGGTTTATAAGGCTGGGACAGGGGTGCAAACCACGGCCTAAACACTAAGCAAGTCTACAGCACATTCTCTTCTCCCTCCAGAGTGCAGCGGAGCTCCCCAATGCCTAGTAGCGGCTGGAGGAGGGTGTTCACTGCCGTGGGGGCTGCCACAAAAGCAGTGTGCACGACCACCTTTGGCGGAAAGCTGTGGAACAGCTCACCGCTTCGCGTGAGGATCAGTACCGCTTCGCATGAGGTGGTTTCAGCGTTGTGCAGCCTTTTGGCCGCAACCGCAAGCTCCGCGCAAAGGCGGAGGTACTCGAAGACCCCGGGGGAGCAGTAACAGTAGGTGTCGAGAGCCAGCCATGGCCAATCCGAGCGGTGGCGGTCCTCGTGTTCCTTCGCCCGTGCTGCCAGCCGCACAGCCCACCCCATGCCGCGCGATGCCGTGGGGTCCTGGGTGGAGATTGCCAGGTCCGTGACAACAGTAATGTCGCAGATCCACACCACCCCAGTATCGGGGTGGCGGATTGCCATGGCAGCTTTCAGTTCAGCCCCTCCACTGGTGTGTACAGAGTAGTCTCCCACTGTGCAGCAAAGCCCGCATCGGCAGCAATTCGGGCACATTCGTCGCGCAACGAGTGGGGGGTTTCCCCGTTCCGCACGGCAGCAGGTGGTTTGGGAGTCTAGTGTCCAGTGCTTGGGTCTTGTCGCGGCAGTCACATGCACCAGGTACTTCCTGGGGTAGGCCGAGCCGGAACGCCAGTGCTGATGCGAAGTGGGCAGGACAGAGCCGCAGACTGTGGGTAAAGGGGACGGCCATGAGCCAATCAGTGGGTGAAGGGGATAGCCATCAGCCAATTCCCCGCACCCGAGCCAATCAGGGACGTCAACCACTGCGTGTGGCCCATCAGTGGGTTAGACCATTTCCCTGCTCTGCTCTAGAAGATCCCCGTAGCGGCTTGTGTGGACTGCAAAAGATAGGGCATGCTGACCGTTCAAGACGTCTGCGCCCTCCCGAAGCTGGGTGAGAGTGGGGATGGCGTCCAATGGAAGGGTTGCTTCTGCTACGGCGAGACGGGTAGGGAGGGTCACAGGTGCTGCGAGTGCCGGTGGGGAAGGCTAATAAAAGGGGGAGCAGGCCCGCGATTTGGGGTTGGAGGGCGTCTCCAAGCTGCGTGAGGAGGGCCATCATAGGTAGGCGAAGTTGCACTCCGCTGCCGGGTCGGTGATGCCGAGGCTTCCCAGCGTAGGTGGGAGGGAGTCAGGCCTGGAGCCAGATCCGCTCTTGCTCTGGGTGGTGCCGCGGGAAGTTGCCCTCCCCTCCCCCCCCCCCCCCACGCCAACCACTCCGCGAGTGGATGTGCTTCTGGCGGTGTAGTTCGCAGGAGGAAGCTGACGTGACTCACACGCGGGTGAGCAGGAGGAGAGCAGGCGGGGGGCTGCGCCTCGACGCCGCAGGCTTGGAGAGCAGCGCCGTTGGGGATGTTGCTGAGGCGAGGCGCTGATGTAAGAACAGAGAGAGCAGGCTGCGGGTCAGCGGACGGGGCTGCCACGGACGCGCAGACCGGCCTGGCTGAAGGGCATGCCTTGGGAGAGGGCAGTGTGGTCATGGTGGAGCGGGGACCAGGCGGTGCACTTCCCGGGGTTGTGGGTGAGGCCCAGGGGTGGTAAGGACGTTGTGAGTGAGGCCCAGGGGTGGTAAGGACGTTGTGAGTGAGGCCCAGGGGTGGTAAGGGTGTTGTGAGTGAGGCCCAGGGGTGGTAAGGAGGTTGTGGGTGAGGCCCAGGGGTGGTAAGGACGTTGTGAGTGAGGCCGAGGGGTGGTAAGGACGTTGTGAGTGAGGCCCAGGGGTGGTAAGGACGTTGTGGGTGAGGCCCAGGGGAGGTAAGGACGTTGTGAGTGAGGCCCAGGGGTGGTAAGGACGTTGTGGGTGAGGCCCAGGGGTGGTAAGGACGTTGTGAGTGGGGTCCCCCTGACGCACGCCACGTTCGCTGCGGAGGTTGTTGGACGCGAATTTGTTGCCAATGAAGAGCACCGACAGTTGGCCAAACGGCCAATGAACGGAAGGAGACGGTGTGCCGCGCAGACCGCTGACCTCTCCACTGCGTTGAGGGTGTTGGTATGGAAGTTTTCAAGCCAAGAGGAGAGGTGGGTCGCAGCACTGGGGTGGCGCGTAGTTAGGGGCTCGAGAGTGGCTTCATTGGTTGGGCAGAGTGGTGTGGAATCTAGGGCCTTCGATTCCTTCGCCAAGCTGCCTCGTTTCACCAGAGTGGTGGCCCTGGCAAACAAGGGTGCCCATGGTGTCTGCCAGCTGCAGAGGGGGTGCTATCTGACGGCCGCCATTGCGTGGAACCGCTTGACCTGATTCTGATTGGGCCAGCTGGTGACAAAGCCCTGCTTCTGACTGGGCTGCTATTCACGACCCGAAATGAAGCTCCCCTCCCAAATTGGGTTTGGGCAGCATTGGCGCCTCGGAATGGTGTTGCAGATCTGGGGACTTCTGAGCCGACTATTCCGTTCCTAAACCCTGGTCCTCAGTGCTAGAGCTGGAACTTTCCTTGTTTGTGTCCCTCTGTCTCTCTCTCCCCTCCTGTTCCCAACTGTCAGCTGTGTTTCTTGAAGACTGCCGGAAGGCATGGGGAAAGGCGGTCCAAAGCTGGGTCGTGGGTGCTGACTGTTTCCTCACCCTTGGATTCTTCTGTGACGATTCAGGCATGATTACTTCGATGTAAGTGTGCTCTTGTTCCGTCTGGGATGGATTGGATCCCACACAAGCTGCTAATCCTGCAGGCCTGTGTTGATTCATTCCTTTTGAGGCGCCTCAAAATACACCTCAGCTGCTAATCCTGCAGGCCTGTGTTGATTGATTCCTTTTGAGGCGCCTCAAAATACACCTCAGCTGCTAATCCTGCAGGCCTGTGTTGATTGATTCCTTTTGAGGCGCCTCAAAATACACCTCAGCTGCTAATCCTGCAGGCCTGTGTTGATTGATTCCTGCACGCATTGGTGGATTGAGGTGTATTTTGAGGCGCCTCAAAATACACCTCAGCTGCTAATCCTGCAGGCCTGTGTTGATTGATTCCTGCACGCATTGGTGGATTGAGGTGTATTTTGAGGCGCCTCAAAATACACCTCAGCTGCTAATCCTGCAGGCCTGTGTTGATTGATTCCTGCACGCATTGGTGGATTTTGCACCGTTTATTCCCAGTGCTCGCGTCACTTGTGTCTGTTTTTTCCCAGTGCTGGCTCTGTCTGGTTTCTGCAACTCCCTCCTGCTATTGACCCACCCACCCACCCCACATAGATCTTTCACGGCGAACCTTAATGGGTCTATTCCTCATAGCATCTCCTCTCTCACTGCACTAACTTATCTGTAAGAACCACACAGTGAAACTATGAGCTCGCCTTTCTTCATGCCTGGGTTGCTTGTGTTTCGTGGGCTGCTTGTGTTGCGTGGGTTGCTTGTGTTGCTTGCTGTGCTGTTGCATCCTCTGTCTGTCCATGCCCACTATTCTCATCTCCCCACTCTTTCGCCTCAACCCCCTCACACACACAGGTCTTTTTCAGACAACAATGTGATGGGCTCCATTCCCAATGGCATCTCCGAGCTTTCTCAGCTCATTTCTCTGTATGAAGCACCTCGTTTCAGTTTGGTTGATAAGAACGAACATGCTCAAAGATCACATGAATATTAAAACCCTCGAGAGAATAGTTTTAGTCACATATCCAAGATGCCACACGCAAGGAAGAAAGCAAGGAGTTACAGGAAATTAAAACGTATATGGTCATGCAATGAAAATCTCGCAGCCCCTCTTCCTGCCCCCCCCCCCCCCTCCCAGACCATTCCCAGGTTCGACGAGAACCACATATTTGCCGACCTGGGTGTGCGACTTGAACCGTGTGCCTCGAACCGAACTGCGATTCGGTTTCCTCATGCCTACCTCCTACCATGCTAGTCTGATCCTCCAATGGGTCGACCGTGTGTGCTTGCTGTCATTCAATCCATGCCCACTTCTCTCATCTCCTCACTTATTCCTCCCCAACCCATCGCACGCACGCACACACAGGGATCTTTCAAACAACAATTTGACGGGCTCCATTCCCAGTGACATTCGCTTGCTTTCTGATCTCACTTATCTGTATGACGCTCCTCGTTTGAGCCTGGTGCCAAGCATGCATGGTCAAAGATCACAGGCAAGCAAGAAAACCAGGGATTTCGGTTGATTAAACTCCATATGGCCACTCCTAATCCCGGCCCTCTCCCTCCTTGCCTTGGTTCAACGAGAAATTCGTCGAACTGGGTGTGCGACTCAAACCGGTTCATGCATGAACCTGTTCGCCTCGAACCAAACTGCAATTTGGTTTTGACTCATGTCTGTCTCCCAGCATGCTTGTGTCACCTTGTGTGCTTGCTGTCGCTCACTCCATGCCCTCTAAGCTCATCTCCTCCTCACTTATTCATCCCCAAACCATTCCACACACACACAGGTCCCTTTCAAACAACAGGTTGACCGGCTCCATCCCCAGCAACAACATATTCACAAACCCTCATCTCTCTTATCTGTATGAAGCACATCCTTTAAGGTTGGGGATAAGCACGCACAATGAGTGGTAGCACATACAGTGGGCTGTGTATGGGTTTCAATTCCGTTCATATCGTCTGGTTTAAAGAGCTGCTTGCATTTCGGGCCTTAGCCCCCCATGCATATTCTCCGTAACCCCTGCTGCGATGATTGCTTCTACTCAGTTATAGGGTGGAATCAACTCGTTGAAGCTATTGACCAGCGTTTGTATCATCTTGCTCTCCCCGCCTCATTCTCCCTCCCCTTCGTCCGGGCTTTGATTTATCTTCCATGAATTGTTCTTCATCTTACATGTGCTGTTCTTCATTTATTAATCAGGCATACGGATGGGCATATGGTCAGCCATATGGTCTGGTCGAACTGAGTCACCACCGGGTCGGCATGACCTGCCCCCTCGTGTCACAGTCGGGGCCCGACCCTGTAGGCCCAAATTGTGCAACCTCCCCGGGGTCCTGACCTGACCTGAGGTCTGGTCGACCCGACCTGACTCGTACCCGCCTAAACCCGGCATGGGCCGGGACGGGTCGGGTCCGTCCACGCCGACAATTCTCATCTCCTCACTTATTCCGCTCCAACCCATGCCACACACACACAGATCTCTTTCAAGCAACGCTTTGACGGGCTCCATTCCCAGCAACATACAATTACTGTCTCAGCTCTCTTACCTGTATGGAGAACTTTGTTTAAGGCTGGTGCGAAGCATGCATGATCAACGACTTCATGAACTTTAAAACCCTCGACCTCTTTCAGGCCCTCCTCTTTCAAACAACAATTGGAAGGGCTCCATTCCCAACAGCATCTCCAAGCTTTCTCAGCTCAACTATCTGCATGAAGCACCTCGTTTCAGCCCGGAACTACACATGCATGATCAAGGAACATAATCTTCAGTTTGTTACTCGATAAAATTGGCATTCCGAATATTCAGATTCTGACATGAATTCCAAAACCCCTGAGAGAATATCCTTAGTAACATAACCTAGACGCTACACGCAAGCAAGAAAACAAGGAGTTTTGGGTAATCAAAACGCATATGGCCTTGCAATTGGCAGCCAAGCCAGGCCGAATATCTCGCAACTCCTCTTCCTGGCCCTCCCCCTCCCAGACTAGGCCCAGGTTCGACGAGAACCACAGACTTGCCGAACTGGGTGGGCTACTTGACCTCTTTGCCTCAAACCGAACTGCGATGCAGTTTCTCATGCTTACCTCCCTCCCACCATGTTTGTCTCACCCCCCAATTTGGTCTACCGTGTATGCTTGCAATCATTCAGTCCATGCCCACTAATCTCATCTCATCACTTATTCCGCCCCAAACCATACGATGAACATGCAGGAATCTTTCAGACAATGCTTTGACGGGATCCATTTCAACTGATATTTGCAGGCTTTATCAGCTCGCTTATCTGTATGAAGCTCCTCGTTCGAGTCTGGTGGGCGATTGGGTGGGGAAAGTGATGTGAGCAAGGGATTGGGATGTTAGGTAAGAAGGTTGCACAGAATTTATCTCTAGGAGGAGAAAAGGGTCGTGCAAAATCGAATTCGAGTGGAAAGCAAGGGATGTGCTAAATCGAATTTGAGTAAAAAGCAAGGGATGTGCTGAATCGAATTTGAGTAAAAAGCAAGGGATGTGCTAAATCGAATTTGAGTAAAAAGCAAGGGATGTTCTAAATCGAATTCGAGTGGAAAGCGAGGGATGTGCGAAATTGAATGTACCGACGACGAATGGCCCAGTTGAGCACCCGATCCTTCCTTCTGCAAAATTCGTTCAACCCAAACCGAACGCATTCGTTTCAGGTGATACAAACGTTTGAGTGAGCTCAAGGCCACCTAGTTTGATTTTGAATTTTGCTTATGCGGCCTCCCACCGTGCTCGTCTCATCCCCCAATTGGGTCAACCGTGTGTGCTTGCCGTCTCTTAGTCCATGCCATCGATTCTCATCTCCTCAATTATTCTGCCCCGACTTTGTACCACGCACACACAGGTCTCTTTCATACAACACTTTGACGGGCTCCATTCCAAGTGACATGGACGGGATTTCTCGGCTCTCTTATCTGTACGAAGCACCTCGTTCAAGCTTGATGCTAAGCATGCATGATCAAAGATCGCATGGACTCTATAACCCGCGAATTAAAATCCTTGGGTGCCACGAGCAAGCAAGAAAACAAGGAGTTTTGGGTAGTCGATACGTATATGGCCATGCCATTGGCACCCAATCCTGGCTGTATAACCTCCCCCTCCCAGCCCAGGTTCGATGAGAACCACAAGTTCGTTTGCCTTGAACCGAAGTGCGATTCGGCTTTTACTCATGCCTATCTCTAGGCATGAGCATAATTCCGAGCCTGGTTCGGCTCTGGGTGAACCGATCCGGTTTCCCCCCAGGCCGAACCTCGAAAATAAGGAGTCGGCCCGGGCCGGGCCGAACCGGGGTCTTCCTGCCGAACCGCAATGGTTCGGATTTCGCCCGCCAGTAAATAAATGGGCTGAACCAGTTCGCCACGCGCCGTGACCCGTCGCAGGCCGAAATGGCCCGGTTTGGGCCCGCGCGTCGCGAGTCACTTGACGTGCGGGCCCTTAGGCCTACAGGATTGGACTTCATGTGGTCTAAAAGTCTAATTAGACGCAAATCTTAGCGCAGAAGCTGAAATGTGTACCCCGCACCCCAACAATTTCGCCAACAAAAAAATTCCCAGCCAATTTTCGCCTCCCAACCGAACTTCACTGCATTAGAACTTGAATTCCCAACCAGTGCACTGACTAATTTCATCCCCCATTTGGGTCGTCTTTGTGTGCTTGCTGTCGCTCACTGCATGCCCTCTATTCTCATCTCCTCACTTACCACGCGCACACAGGTCTTTTTCAAACAACAGGTTGACAGGCTCCATTCCCAGCAACTTATTCAGGCTTTCTCAGCTCGCTTATCTGTATGAAGCACCTCGTGCATTTATTCATTCATTATCAGGCATATGGAACCTTTTGTTGTGCATTTTATCAGCCATATGATCTGGTTTATCAGCCAAAAAATCTGGTCAAACCGAGTCACCATCGGGTCGACCAGTCTGTCCGGCCCTCATGTCACAGACGGCCTGGCCCTAGAAGCCCGGGTCGGGCAACTTCCCCGGGGTCCCAACTCGAGGTCGGGGTGACCTCACCCGACCCGTACCTTAGCCTGTGAAGACAAATACCGAATCGACTACGATTAGTTATTTCCAAATATTATGGGAATCCCTGATATGAATCAAATACTGGCGAATTCGAATCGCGTATAAACATGCACATTCTACACACATCACGAAAACGTGTATGCCTGGAAATCATTTGATCGGTTGATATTCATTTAGAAATCATCTGTATATGGTTCTGACTGTACAAGATGCTTGGCTGATGCTATACAGATGTTTCAAGGGTTAATTTGTTATATGTTGTTTGGGTAAGCATCACATGCTGGTGCAAGAATCTATCTTTCATGAACCAAACAGGCGCTCCTGCATTTGCTCATGTCTACCTCGTTTCATGCCCATTATCCTCACTTCTTCCACCCCAACCCACACCAAATACACACAGGTCTCTTGCAAACAACAATTTGAAAGGGTCCATTCCCGACAGGATCTCCGATCTTACTCAGCTCACTTGGCTGTATGAAGCACCTCGTTTCAGCCTAGTGACATGCACGAACTCGAGTAAAGATCGCATGAACCCTACAACCCTCAAGAGTACCTCCTAGGTCGCATAACCTAGTTGTCAAGCGCAAGCACAAAATCAAGGGTTTTCAGGTACTGAAAACTAGGGTTGATCAAGAGGCGAACACGAACGTGTTCGGGTTCGCCCCTGCACGAACACTGCCGTTCGGCGAACCGAACACTGTTTGGTTCGCCAAACAGCTTTAGCCAAAAAAGGTGTTCGCCGTTCGCCGTTCGCCTGTGAAGGCGAACACCTTGCTGACGCAGGCGAACACGAACGTGTTCGTGGCAAACACGTTCGCGTCGCCCCGAGGACAGCATTCTTGATAATCACATGAGAGGGATTGTGAATTTGGGCAAATTCAATGTTGGGTACGCAGCTTTGTAGTGTTATGGCGCCAATACTAGCCTAGGGCGCCAGCCATCCTTAGATTAGACTAACCTAAGTAGACTTACTATTTTCGCTAAGTTCTATAGGAAGAGGTGTTAATGGCATGATGTGTGGGGGGCGTGGTAGAATGGCTGCTGCTGCATAGCGCGACTATGTTTGGGCTCAAACAGTTTGTCCCGCGACCTAAATTTCAGATCGTGGGAAAGTCGTGACGAACACATGTGTGTTCGTTTTTGCCCCGAAACGAACACGGACGTGTTCGTGTTCGTTGCGACTCGGGCACCCGCGACGAGACGAACACGAACGTGTTTGGGCGAACACCGAACACGTTTGCCACGAACATTTTTAGCCAAAAAAAACCATGTTTGGTTCGCCCCGAACACGTTCGAGGCGAACTGAACAGGTGTTCGTTTGCTTGCTCAAGCCTACTGGAAACCTATATGACCAAAATTCATGAAGCCAAGCCAAGGCTGATTATCCCGCAATTCCTCCTCCTGGCCTTCCTGCTCCCAGGCCCAGGTTCGAGTTCTACTCATGCTTGGCTTCCCCCCATACTCGTCCATACCCAGATTGGATTGATCGTGTGTGCTTGCTGTCCCTCAGTCCATGCCCAATAATCTCATCTCATTTCTTCCACCAATCCAAACCACACACACACAGGTCTCTTACAAACAACAATTTGACAGACTCCATTCCCAGTGCCATCTCTGTGCTCGTGCAGCTTGATTATCTGTATGTGGCACCTTGTATAAACCTAAAGATAATCAAAGGTCACGTCAAATCTAAGACACATGAGGGATAATCCTTAGTGACATGGCCTATAGACATGGGCATTCGAGCCAATATTTAACTCGGCTCGCCTTTTTCCACTCGTTTCGGGTGAGTTTCATGTAGACATGAGCAAATTCCCGAACCCCTGTTCGGTTCGAGTCGAACGTGTTCGACTCGAACCGAACAGGGGTTTTTTTTTGCCCAAAAATGTTCGTGACGAACACCTAGGTGTTCGTCACGAACATGTTCGAGTGTTCGTTGCGGTTCGTGCAAAAAAATGCACGAACACCTAGGTGTTCGCGAACACTTTGTGTTCGCGGGCGAACACCGAGGTGTTCGTCGAAATCCAGCGCGTCAAAAATTGACGCGCTGGTTGGATCTAAAAGGGGAAAGTGACGATTGAGCTCATTCTTGGGCTCAATCGTCAATTTCCAGTTAGGATAGCATTCCGCCCACTACCCATTTAAACTGCACCACTCCCACGGTTTAAAGTCCACATTGAGGCTAGAAACGTTAAGTATAAGGGTAGATTAGGTTAGGAAACGTTTAAAAACAGAAATCAAGAGCATTTCGTTTTAGCAAAGAGTTTAGCAAGGCGGATGGATTCAGAAATGGTTGATGTAGGGTTGGTTAGCAGCCAAGACAAGGCTATTCCTAGCCCATCCGCACTACTAGATACTGCAACTGGGACCGCAAGCCCTCTCGCACCTCTCGAGCTCATAGGGGGGCAATACCTAGGAGTCCCCACGTCACCAAAAAGCTACAGGTTTAGTGGCGGGGGGCTGGCTGCACCCTCAAATCGGTATGGGAAGTCTCGTGATGAGATCGAAGAGATTTCAGAGGAGGCCGAGGAGGATGCGGAAGGGGGGGGGGGGGAAGGTCAAGGGTGGTGGGGGGGGGGGGGGGGAAGCCAAAGGGATTGGCTGGAGAGTGGCGGCTGGAAAAGAAGCGCCCACGCATCCAACGTAGTCCATCCGATAGCACCGACAAGGATTATGATCCGAAGAAAGATGGGGATTGCGCGGGGTTGAGGGATGACGACGAGGAGGAGGAGGAGAAGGGTGAGGAGGAGGAGGAGGAGGAGGAGGAGGAGGAGGAGGAGGAGGAGGAGGAGGAGGAGGAGGAGGAGGAGGAGGAGGTGGAGGAGGGGGAGGGAGAGGGTAGTGGTGAGGAGGCTGAGGAGGAGGAGGAGGAGGAGGGGGTGTCCCAGCTGGGGAAGGCTAAGAGGAAGGCCAAGGGGAAGGCCAAGGGGAAGGCCAAGGGGAAGGCCAAAGGCAAGGGGAACGGGAAGATAAAGGGCAAGGGTAAAGGCATAGAAGCTCAGGAGGAGGGGGGGGGGAGAGGATGGTATGGCCGCGTCGGTAGATGAGAATGATGGGCCTTTAAAGGCCACGAAAGGGTGTAAGAAGGCCCCAGGTTGGCAGGTCCAGATGTTCGGGCCATTGGGGGCGGATGAGAAGCGCAAGTGTAAGATGTGCGATACCCGTATCAGTTGGTCGACGGGCACTACGACTCCAGGGGTGCGCCACATGGTTGCGAAGCACACGGCGCACCACGACATTTGGCAGTATAGGTCCCTAAGACCACACCTACTGACTAAGGGGGAGACTTTCCCGGAGGGTGGCTACGATGGAGTTCCCGACAGGAAGGTGGTGAATTGGCCACACGTGGCCTCGTGGCCCAAGTTGCCGGTGGTGCAGACCCCGAGCGCGAAGGGTGAGGCAGGCGGCATTGAGCGCTTTGTTACAGCGAGGCTGAGTAAGCTGAAGCTTCGTGCGGCGATCACGAAACTTGTGGTGACCGGCGACTTGCCCTTTCGCATCGTCGAGCTGGATGCGGTGAGAAAGCGTTCATCCCCCCTCCTATTTGTTGTGCTTTGATGGATTGAGATTGCTGGCCGCACGTGCTACTTCATTGCAGTACAGCCAGCCATCATGGCATCATGAATTGATGTCCACCTTATTCGCCCCTCCTCGTGCTTGTATATATAACACCAGTTCAAGGAGCTGCTGATCGTGCTGAATGAAAAGTGTGGGGAAAAGGGCGTTATCCCATCACGCTGGACGGTGGCGCGCGACACCGTTGTCCTTGCTGACTTGGCGCTCGAGGCAGCGATTGCAGAGCTGGCCTCTACAACCTGTGCCGTGTCGTACAGCACCGACATGTGGACAGGCCCGAACGGCAAGGCCTACATGGTGCTGACAGGTCACTTCGTGTCAGTGCAGTGGGAGTTGCGCCAGGTGATTCTTGCTTTCGTCGAGATGCCTGGCAGGCATGGGGGGAAGGAAATTGCTAAGGCGGTGGAGAAGGTGGTGGTGCAGTGGAAGTTGCAGACGCGTTGCCTCGGTCTCACGACCGACAATGCGTCTGCAAACGTAGTTGCTCTTCGGCACCTGGCGGAGGAGGGTGAATTCTCGGGGTACTTCAGAGAGAAGGCGCACTACAGGTCCGTCTTGTAGCTGGATTCCAAGTTCCTAAACCTGGTCCCTTTTGCTTCTGTCCGCACCATAACACCCTTGTAACCTCGTTCGCCGGTTTGAAACCCTAAACCCCTCCGATCCAACGCAGGTGCCTGTCGCACATTGTGAACCTGGCAGTGCAGTCTGGGCTGGGTGTGGAGTCGATGACGGTGCCCCTGAAGAAGGTGCGGGAGATTACTACGTGGGTGGGCATGTCGCCCCAGCGAGGAGCCGCCTTCATTGCGCTGCAGGTTTGGCATGGAGTGCTGCCCAATGGGCCGCACAAGCTCGTTCAGGACAGTCCTACGCGGTGGGGGTCCACACACGAGATGGTTAAGCGCTTCTTGCTGCTGAGGCCCTTCATCGACATGCACTTTGCCCGCGAGCAGGTACGGCTCCATTCGTATCCATTGCAATCTGTGTTGATTGGACGCGTAAGAGCTGTTGCTTTGAAGATTGTCAGAATCCACTACGTTCCAACCGTTCCCCAAGCCTAAGCACATGTACTCAATGTCATCCAACCCAATCTTGCGCCCTCACCTAATCAACAGGGCACCACGAAGGAAGAGAAGGAGAAGTGGCGAGGTTTGCGTGTGACCGATGTCGAGTGGGAGGCCTTGGGGGCTTTGGAGGGGTTTCTCCGTCCCTTTGCCAGAGTCTCCACGGCCGCCGAGGGGTCGACCTACCCCACTGTGTCGATGGTGCTGCCTTACTTCTACGCCCTCATCGACAGCCTGGAGAAGAAGCTGCACACAGGGACGCATGAACTAGTTCGGCCACTCATGTCTGCCGCGCTGGGGCACCTGAAGCAGTACGAGTTTGCCATCGGGGACGAGTACTGGATCGCAACCTTCTTGGATCCGTCCATGAAGGCCGAGTACTTCAGGATGACACACTGGGAGCTGATGCATCCAGGCATAGTGGCACGTGACGGTGGGCGGCTTAAGCCACGTATGAGTGCGGACAGGGTGGTGAGCTTGGTGCGCCGCCGAGTGGAGGAGTACCAAGCTCGAGCAGCACGTGAAGCTCCCACCCCACCACCAGCACCAGCAGCAGCAGTGGTGACACCGTTCGAGGACGACGACGACGAGTTTGTGTTCTCTAGGGCACAGCTGCAGAAGCGTGTTTCAGCTAGCGCAGCAGCGAGAGCGGGGGGAGGGGGGACGTCGGTGGGGGATGAGGTGGATCGGTACTTAGCGGAGCTGCCTGTCTCGGACGTGCCAGCGCTGCAGTACTGGCAGCGTGCGAGGAACATGGACACGTTGAGGCAGATGGCACGGGATTACCTCGCTATCCCTGCCACCTCTGCAGCTAGCGAGCGAGCTTTCTCCATGGGGAGGAACCTCATCTCCTTGCACAGGCACAGGCTGAACACTGAGCGTGTTAGCGCGAGCATGACTCTCAGGTCATGGTACACGTCACACCCTGGGAAGAGTATTGGTGAGGAACCCGGCCGCAGCGGACAGCAGGCACCACCAGAGTTGGCGCTGGAGGGAGAGGGGCTAGATGAGGGGGATGAGGAGGAGGCTGTTGCTGTGGGGGGGGGAACTGGAGTTGAGTGAGGGAGTTGCATGGGGACTTGGTGCTGTCTGGCTTTGTTTTGCATGTCCTTGACTTGTCGTTGCCCTGAACTTTGAGCTGTTGACTTATTTATCCATATTTCTCTAGACCATGTGTGCGAGACATTGCGGATCTTCGCTGCTACCTTTATTTACATTCTGATTTTGCTTGTAGAACACACGCCCTGAGTTTCTTACATGCACTGAATGTGATTATAATAGAAAGTACCCCCCATGGCAAACTGTTCGAGTTCGTGGCAAACTGTTCAAGTTCGTGCCAAACACCTTAGTGTTCGGCCATGCCTCAAAACTGTTCGACACTATACTCGAACGGGGAACACTAACATTTACGAAAACTGTTCGTGACAAACGTGTTCGGTTCGGTTCGACCTAGTCAACTGTTCGAGTCAAACGTGTTCGGTTCGCTCGTTGCTCATGTCTAGTTTCATGGGTCGTTTTTACAGAGAAATCTCGGTCGAGCCGAGTCGAGTAAAAGTCGCTGAGTTAGAAGAACTTGTCAAAACTAGTTTGGACGGTTGAGTTTTTTTAACACTACCGAGTTTCCACGAGTTTGGCAAAACCTGCCGCGAATATTAGGCAGGCTGGAAATTGGAAGTTCAAATTTCCTACTTTCATGTTGTTGGCTCATTATTTCTCACAGCAGCCCAGATTCACGTTTTATTTGCATAGAAACCCCGTCTCTCCTCACACCTCTATAGCCTCTCGCATTGAAGTGCACGAATTTCAAAAGAAAGACCGTACGTAGGAGATTAAGAAGGGCAATTAGATCTAGACCTAGAGGTGACCCAATTTCCAGATCTGAAATTGGTTGGATTTTCTAGTTTTTGTGCGCCGAAGATCGGAGGGGTGAAAATTGGTTGGAAACAACTTTCATGGAAATTGCTACTATGAAATGGGATCGCATTTACGAAGGTTACTTCGAGAATCTTGTTCACTTCGGATTCTCACCAACAAGAATTTATGGGTTTGTCGAGCGTATATTCCGGATGCGTTTCCAGTTGACGTTGTGCGGAAGATGGTGCACATCAGTATTCGACTAGGGGCGTAACAGTGCAGAGCATTGCAGTGCTTCGGCACTGGCACGCACCAAGGCTATTGGGACGCCACGATCGTAAGCACGATGATTGGTGACACCTGATGTGGGCTGTGTAGGGGCTTCAGTTCCATTGGTCAGAAGTCCATTCATATCATGAAGGCCTGTTTACATTGCAGGCCACAAGTCCAATGTGACAGTCTCGGTAATCCCTGATGCGATCGATAACTGCTTCTACTCAGTTATAGCATTGGAATGAACTTCATGGAAGCTAGTAGCCAGCCAGCATTAGGGTCATCTCCCTATCCTCCATCTCGCATGGGCTGAATTTCATGGTTGATCAGGCATATACATGGGAATCGCTTGGGTGGATCTATTCCATCCACTCTCAGCCGCTTGATCAACCTGGTGAACCTGTAAGTATTATGATTCATGACTCCAGTACCAGGCTATCCCAGCTACCTTTGGCTTGTTGACAGCACTGGGAGAACCGAATAAGCGACTGCATTTCATTAATGTCACTGCGTTGCCGTGTTCGTACGATCTCAAAACTCGTGCCTTGCTCTGGAGTAGTATTCATGCCCACTTGCCTTATTTGACCAGAACCCTGGGGGGTCACTAAGCTACTGAAATTATTCCGAATAGAAACCTTACAGGTTTGAAGGAGTTTTGTGAATTAGGATTTTGCCTCCATCCAACTTTTTTTTCATCATCTTCCACTCGCCCTGTGTGTTGTGCGGCCATCTATCCGTGTGCCTCATCCCAGGTCCATTCACCTCTCAACCACCATGCTACCTCCACTTATCCCCACTATTAACAGCTATTTCCATCCCCCTTTCATCACCCCTCCATCCTCCCTACTTTCAACTACTAATGCATTTTCCCTTTGCCCCCAGTCCAATGCTGCTCTTTCTTCTCTATGCTCCCAACAAGGCTTCCCACCTGTTGGGATCTCGACTCTCACACTCCCTTGGGCCGCTTGCATGTGCTTCCCGACTTCCTTGCCATGCCCGCTATCAATTCTTCAATTCGTTCAACCCACAACACACAATGCACAGGGATCTCTCATCCAATTCCCTGAGTGGCCCCATCTTCACCAACTTTGCCTTCCTTAGCGGCCTCACTTATCTGTACGAAGCTCACTTTATGTGCCGGGCCAAGGCTGCACCTGCACGGCGCTCTTTTGTGTGCCAAGCCTGCACCACACTCTCATGTCCCAAGCCTGCACCACACTCTCATGTGCCACGCCTGCACCACACTCTCATGTGCCAAGCCTGCACCACACTCTCATGTGCCAAGCCTGCACTGTGCTCTCGGCCATCAACTCACTCTCATCATCGCTGTTTGGCCCATCTGCTGTTTCACTTTAAAGCATGATGAGATATGCTGTGACCAGTTAAATGGTGTACTCCTTGCTGCCGTGCATGCATCTTTTCTCTACATGTTGCCTCTTTAAGTATTTTCCCCATCCCATTGTACCAACCTGCCATTTGAAGTCTCTTGGGATGGATGCACGCATTGGAAATGCCAGGTTCCTCCATCTCGTGCATAGATGGATGCACGTCGCTGCTTCCTTCATGCATGACATTCACACGGCATATCACTGCGTTCCTTCATGCATGACATTCACACGGCATATCACTGCGTTCCTTCATGCATGACATTCACACGGCATATCACTGCGTTCCATCATGCATGAGGCTAACAGGGCTTACTCCCACACTTTCCGTCCGACCCATGTGAGCAGAAACCTTTTTGATAACAATCTCAGCGGGGAGATTCCAGCTGAGATTGGAAGCCTTACTTCATTGAAGTACTTGTGAGTAGGCTTGAGCAAGTACCAAACTCGTAACTTGTGAATACAGAACTTCTGAAAAAGCTTGAGCTAGTACCGGATCTGAAATGAACTTGTAAGCAGTGTGAGAGAGGCTGATCTAATTCCCCAGTTAAAGCCCATGGTTTGCTCAACGAGAGCAGTCATGCAGGAGTTACATTGACTTGTAGCTTTTGTTGGGATGCTGGCAATGTCTCCATGGCCCTCCTAGCCACCATCCCCATACGGGTCCCACCTTGAGAACCAACTAGCCTACCACTATTTCGGTTGAGCTTTAAATGAATGTCTGTGCAGCTGTGCCCATGATTTCCGCCTTTTCATCTCCCCTTTTCCACTTCAGCAACCTCTCTGGCACCAACCTCACATGCCCGCCTGACAACTCTACTTGTGGCGTAAAACAATATCGTAGAACATCCTTTTGCCGCACGTGTAAATCCTTCTGCAATACTTGCACCAACCAATCTGCAGGCGAGTATAGAAACACCACCCAAGTATGATTTCACACTTGAAGCGCAACGAGACACAACATGATGCATGGTGCCATGCGTTTTGGAATCGAGTGTGTTGTGCCAGTACAAAGATATATCATGATTTTGAGATCAAATCTCGGTATAGCACATGGCAACGCATGGGAATGCATGGCAGCACATGGGAATGCATGGCAGCACATGGGAATGCATGGCATTGCACGGCACAAGGCATGCAAATAAAAGAACCCCTCGCTTGCTATCTCTGTTAGTGATCAGCTTACAACAATCCCACTGCGTGTGGACCTTTGCTCATGTCATTCGCAGAAACCAGCAGAAGCATCAACAGCAACAGCAGCAGCAGCAGCAGCAGCAGCAGCAGCAGCAGCAGCAGCAGCAGCAGCAGCAGCAGCAGCATCAGCAAGAGCAGCATCAGCAGCGGCGAGTCTTCTTCAGCAGGAGGTGGAGGTGGAGTGTCTGTTGGAGCCATCGTTGGCATTGTTGTTGCCGCTGTGGTCATTCTCCTGCTTCTGGGCGCCACTCTGCTTTACGTCCGGCAAAAGAAGAGTACGTTATGTTTAACCAGACTCTTTTGATGCAGTTGTGTGTAGCTGTTTGCATGTGCCGTTCAGTGGGGAACAAGGAGTGTACTGCATAAGCTTTGACATGACCATGCAGGTCTGCAAGTGTATTGCTTGACTCAACCAAAGTTGAGACGAGATTGACTGCTCCAATTTCTGGCCTTTAAATTCACGAGATTGACTCGCCACAAGCAGCGTGAGTTGGCGCACGCATTTAATTCGGTCACAAGCTTACAGGCTGGTATGCCTCCATTGGGACCAACCCAACTCGACCTGACTCAAGACGACTCAAAGCTTCTCAACCCAACTCAAGCCTATTTCCCTGCACCCGTCTGCCCTTCTTTCACATCTGACACCCTGAACAGGCACTGGCAGCAATCTAGCAGCCTCGCACTGCACGGAGTTCTCAATAGCAGAGGTCGTCAAGGCCACCAATGACTGGTCAAAGGACAACCAGCTGGGCTCGGGTGCGTTTGGCGATGTGTACAAGGGCGTGTCTCCCCGCGATGGCACCTTATGGGCTGTGAAACGAGCCAGGCTGATTGACGTGGACTCCCAGAAGGAGGTTAGTGAGGCGCAGATACGGAGGTCAGTGATTCATGGTGACCCATGGTGAGCCGCAATGAGCCACGATGAGCCATGGTGAGCCATAATAGAATGGCGTGTTCTGTGGCCTAAGTGTCATTCTCCATTCTACACCTATGTTTTTTAGTCGTCTCAAAATGCATCGGTGTTCATAGTGCATTTTGCGGTTCTACTTATTGATTGTGCCTTTGTTGCTTTTAGAAGAAGCTATGGGAACACAGTAAAAAAAATAGTCTTTCCTTTTTTGCTCAGCATTGGCATCCGTGCTTGACTATTTGTTTGTTCTTCCCGTTTCTCTACCACTCACCCTTCCTCTCTGGCTGTGACGATCAGATCCAGCAGATGGCCGACAAGAACCATCCCAACATTGTGAGGCTTCGTGGTTATGCGATCGCAGGAGACTTGAGGTCACGGCTAGAGCAAGTTCTCATCTATGAATACGTGCCCAATGGCGACCTTCGCGAATGGATTGGTCCAAGTAAGTGTGCCACTTCAGTGTGCTCTCCGTTTGTGTGTCGTAGGTGTTGTAATGTGCCTTTCATATGCTGTGCCACTCTTGCTGTGCCACTCCTGCTATGCCACTCATGCTGTGCCACTCATATGCTGTGCCACTCATATGCTGCGCCACTCATGCTGTGCCACTCATATGCCATCTGCTTATATGCTGCGCATCCGTGCACAGGCAGTGTGAACTCTGACTCTGAAGCAGCGTGCCCTCATACGCTGTGTCACCCATATGCTGTACCACACATCTTTGAGATGTAGCCTGCCTCTGCCACTCATCCTCTGCCACTCATGCTGCCATTTATTCCTTGCAGATGCCGAACGCCTTCTGACTCTGAAGCAGCGGCTCGACATTCTCATCGGCATCGCACGGGGCGTCGAGTACCTCCACGGCTTTGGCATCGTGCATCGTGACATTAATCCTGGCAACGTCCTCATCACCGACGACATGCAGGCAAGTTTTTTTGCGGTGGATCGTTTAGGTGTCAGAATAATGATCTTGGTGGAGGCAAAGATGTTAAACGAAAATTGTCAGCCTCTGCATTCGAGTCTGCATAATGTAGCTAGTGATAACGTGACCAAATCTTGAGTGGCACAGCAAAGTAGACATTAGCAACAGCCCAAAATTGAGTGTGTTTGCCTCGAACCCAACGAACACTTACCTTAGGCGACTGAACGCATTCGGTTTAGGTTTGCCACGAGCGTTTTTTTTTTTTGTTTTTTTTTTTTTTTTGGGGTGGAGGAGGAGGGAGGGGGGGGGGGGGGGGAAGGGGGGGGGTTAATAGGTAGGCATGAGGAAGAGGCGAACACGAACATGTGCGTCTTCGCCCATAGTCGAATATGTAATTTGGGCGAATCGAACACCTTCGGTTCACCCCGAACACTTTCAGAAAATCTTGTGTTTGTCTGTTTGCCTTTGGGGCGAAACACCTTCTATGCTTGCTCCGAGCAAGAACATGTTCAGGATGATCATGTTCGTGCTAGAATTTTCAACAGCTGTAAACTCGACCGCTATGGGCGAAATGGGCTACTATTTATGGTGTGGGTGGCAGTTTCAGCAAGCTGAGATTTTATGGTGTGTGAAGTTTCTGTCTTGTTTCTTCCCTAAGACGCCCTGAACACAAGGCGAACATTTGCAGTTACTTGCGCAATTTGCGCCTCGTTGTAACATCATATGCGCTATGATATGAACTGTGCAAGGAGAAAGGAATCTCAAAGGAAACCCAAGATGGAAACTTTGCAATTCGGTTTATATCATTGCGCAGATTCAGTCATATCAAATTTGAAATTATACGGTTTTGTTTGGTTATCTATAATGTAGTAGGACAGGCTTTATAGGAGTACAATGAGGTGAAGGCTGGATGGTGTTTGTTTTTTTCTGCATGCTACAGGGCCAGGGGAAACCAGCGGAACCAGCTTTTGTCTGGTTGCACGAGGACAATAAGTCTTGGGTTTAGAACCTGAACGTGGTTGGTATTATCCCAGGTTAAAAAGAATTGATCCAGAGGTTCTTTACCAACCTTTCACACACGCAACCATTTGTCATGCCCTGTTCTTCATCCCTCATGCTACAATGACCCTATTAAAAAGCACCAGGCAAAAATTGCAGACTTTGGGCTGGTGAGGATAGGAGAGGGCACTTCTGTAAGCACGACGCGTGTCATGGGCACACCGGGCTATGTGGATCCAGCCTACTTCAGCACGTGCAAGGCCACCACTGCCAGCGACGTGTACAGGTGAGGCTGGAAACCCTTACCAAGGTTTGCAGGATTCACTTAGAAACCATCGTACTAGTTCCTTATAATGCATTTCACGAGACCCTTAGAAATCACTGCAGTATTCCCTTAGAAAGCATCGCAGAGACCTTAGGGAAAATTTGCAGGAAAACTTTAGAAAGCATTTCAGTAGACCCTTAGAAAGCATTGCAGGAGTTCCTTGAATAAGCATTGCATGAGCTCCCTAGAAAGCATTTCAGGAGTCTGTTGAAAATTATAGCAACAGTTATTTAGAGTCATTGCAGGAGTCCTAATAAAGCATTGCAGGGGTCCTTTAGAGTCCCTTGGAATAATTGCAGAAATCTCCTGAATAGCATTTGAGGAGGCTCCATGTGTGTACAGTCCATGAACATGTGCACACTGCATTGAGGTGGCAAGATTCATGTGAAGTGCCTCTATTTTTTGCCCTTCCTCTGCATCTTGTGCCCTAATACTCTTGTGGCTTTGAACTCTTCTTTTCAGCTTTGGAGTGCTCATCCTGGTGGTGTTTACGGGACGCCCACCATTTGTGGAGGCCGATGAAGAGGGTCAGCTGATCACAAAATGGGTACGCATCCTATTTAAAAGACCAGATTTTCTGTGATGGCACCCACACAACTGTCCGCTGCCCAGTGTTGGTTGTGGTATGTCTTACGCACGTATAGTTTTGCCTGTGGTCTTCTCAGGGCTTGCGGGTACATTCTAGCTGTGATGCAACCTCGTTTTTCGCGTTACTAAGATAGCATCTTCTACACTAGTCAAGTACTGTTATCTATTCTTGGAATAGTTATTTGTTTTTCAAGAACTATTGCACTTCGACGCAAGAACTTGTATAGCGTCTTCTGAATGACATAAAAGGGGTATTTTGTCCACGATTTCTTGTTGAACTGGCTATCTTATTCCGTTTGTGATTTCTCCTGCCCTTTCCACTCCCGCAGGCGTCGGACTGCCTTTCCTCGGGGGACTTGGCCAGCCTCAACCACCCCACCATGGACGCCCCAGCAGATGCTGTGCTGCGTGTGGCTCAGCTCGCCCTCACCTGCACCACAGAACGCACTGCAGCCCGCCCAAGCATGGCACACATCGCCAATGAGCTGCAGGCCATCCGGGAGGAGGTGGTCGGGAAGGAGGAGCTGAGCGCGGCTGTGAAGGTGGATGCGCAGGTCCAGGAGAGGGAGGTTGTTGCCAATGTGTTAAGCCTTGACGAACAGCTTCAGATTCTTGATTACAACTTGGCTGAAGGATAGGCATTCGAATAATAGACCCCTATTGCAAGTGGAAAAGCTTGCTAGTCGAAGTGCAGTGCATGTAGAGAAACATATGGGCTGCATGGAGTCATACAAAAGGCTTCATTTGTTTTTTCTTGCCCCCAACAATTTCTCACCAGAAGTTGATTAGAGACGTTATACAACACTGCCCCAAGAGGAACTATCTTGTGCACTATCTTGTTAACACCACCATTTTTTTTTCCAAATGTTAGACAGCTGCAGGTCTTGATTGATCAGAGTAAATTTCTCTGTTTCTATGAAAATCAGAGTTCTACAGTACATGCTGGGTGAAATATTCTAGAGTTAGTTTTCTCTGATCTGTCAGAGTTTTGTTATAGGCTACTCTGAGGCCTCGCTCTTTTTTTTTTTTCCCTAGATCGAGTTTTCTCTGTACAAAAGATACATGTTTTCCCCCCTCCCCTGCACCCCCCTCCCTCTCCCTCCTCCCCTCCCCAACCCCCCCCACCAACCCCCCCCCCCACGCTTAGTTATATCGCAGATTTTTGTGCGTGCTGGTACTGCTGACGTGGCAGTTTCTTGGTGAGGAAGCTAGCTGCCATGTCACCAATGGGGCAGTAAGTCAAGATGACTTTGCCATTGTCAACTTCGTCTTTGACAAAGAAGTAGCGAAGTGCGATGTGCTTGGTGCGGTTGACGTAGTTGGGTTTGTTCGCGATCTTGATCGCGCTCTGGTTGTCGCAGTGAAGTTTGAAGTTCGCAGATGTCGCAATTTTTGCCTCCTGGAGCAGCTCCTGGAGGTAAAGTCCTTCGCCTACAGCTGATGTGGCAGCGATGAACTCGGCTTCAGCAGAGGAGAGCGCCACCATTTCCTGTTTCTGTGAATTCCAGGAAATAGATCTGGTAGGTTCGAGGCGGAAGAGGAAGCCGGTTCGGGAGCGTCGATTTGCATGGTCGGCGGCATGATCGGTGTCCACATAGCCAGCGAGGTGGAAAGCACGGGTCGTGAGAGTTGAGTAGGTAAGGTCGATGTGCGGTGTGGAAATGAAGTAGTGCAGAGCGCGTTGCATGTCCAGCATATACTCCCCGTTAGACCGCTTAGCGTACTGAGCGAGTTGGCTCGAGATATAGGACAAGTCAGGCTTGTGTGTGACTGCATCAAAGAGGAGGCAGCCGAGCTGCTGCTGGTATAGTTGGTGGCCGGATGGGTTGAGGGGGGTGGTGTTGGGGGTGTGCGTGGTGGTTGGAGAGCGGAAGGGGATGGAGAGGTTTGCAGGCTTGATGTTGAATTTAGCAGACAAAGTTTCTGTGTACTTGGCGGCTGAGAGGTGAAAGGCGTCTGCTGCGTAGGAGATGTTGAACCCCAAAAATTGGGTGACGTGGTCGATGCTGGTAATTTTGACACGGTTGCTGAGATTCTTCTCGAAATGTGCGAGGAGCTCGTTGCTGGTGCCGGTGTAGAGAAGATCGTCTACGTATGCCGTGAGAAGAATGTAATCGTCGCAGTAGTGAAGGAGTTACATGCCGGGATCATGGGGCAGCTAGGTGAAGCCGATGTCGAGAAGGATTTGGTGGAGGTGCTGCTGCCAGAGGCGCGGTGCCTGCTTGATGTCGCAAAGAGACTTCTTTAGTTGACACACACGTGTCAAGATTACAAACGAGAATGGAATGAACTAGCAGCAGGATAAGTAAAAGTGCTAACCCTGAGTTGTGTTGTACCCCATATGGGCTACCCCACTACAGACTACACAATGTGCAGCATATAAGTTTGACACACCCCCATAGGCAAAGTGGGGGAGAACAAGTGGTCACAAGACCAGTCAAGAAAAGCAAAGCAAGCTCAGGGTGGATCACAAAGTCACCACGGAGTCTGAGCACAAGCAAAGGGCCACAAGGCCAGTTCACATGCAGAGTTATATAAAAAGAACAAACAATACAGTGATCATACCCTAGCAAGTGTAAGCATGCAGGTATATATATATATATATATCACAGTACAAGCAGATTCAAGCAGTGAGCAAGTGAGGCAAAATAGGCACAAGGCCTAACACAGTAGCAAAGCGTTGATGATCACCAGGCGGAAGTGCCTTGGTGAAGACATCAGCATTGTTGGCCCGAGTGGCCACGTACGCAAGAAGAAGCTGGCCACGCTGCTGTAACTCTTGAGCAAGGAAGTATCGCAGAGCGATGTGCTTCGTTCTGTGCTCCATTCTGTGCTCCTGACACAAGGCAATCATGGCCTTGTTGTCTACGTACAGAACTGGAGGCAAACGAGGCTGCTCTCCCAAGTCCGTCAGCAGGTAGGTGAGCTAGCGTAGCTCCTGAGCAGCCATGGCCCCGGCATAGATCTCAGCCTCACAACTGGAGCTAAGAACCGAAGAGAAGCGGGTAGACCGCCAAGAAACAGAGCCGGAACCAAGGCTGAAGGTGTAACCCTGTGACAACCGCTGCGTAGCTGAGTCGTCAACCCAGGAGGCGTCTGCGTGACCAGTGAGAACAACTGGACCCCGTCCTCCAAGCACAAGCCCCATGCCCGACGTACTGCACAGGTAACGCAGTACCCTCTTCGCAGCATCCCAGTGCACCTTTCGGTGCCTACCGGGAGCCACGTAGCGAGCTAGAAGGCTGAGAGGGTACGCAAGGTCAGGTCGTGTGCACGTCATCAGGTACATGAGGCAACCCACAAGCTCTGGGTACGGACCACTCGGCTCTACGGACTCGTCCGAAGGTGGAGCTGAGAGCGAGTGGCTGGTAGACGGAGGAGTGGGCTGTGGCGAGGAGAAGTGGAAGCCGAAGCGCTGAAGGACCTGGTGCACCATGTGTGACTGAGTCAGTGTGATGGTGCGCCGTGCTCTGTCCCGGGTGATCTGCAGGCAAAGATAGCTGCGCAGTTCACCCAGGTCAGTGCAGGTGTGTCTCTTCTGCAGCTCGAACTTCACAAGGGTCAGTGCCTCAGTGTCAGCAGTGGCAAAGACGAGGTCGTCGACATACACGCGGACGTAGAATGGCGGCAGCGACGTGTCGGTGCGTAGAAACAGCGACGGGTCCGCAGTAGAAGGAGCAAACCCAAGAGCCGCAAGTGTAATCCTCAGTGTGTCGTGCCACTCGCGAGGCGCCTGGCGGAGACCGTAGACTGGCCGGCAGAGGCTCCACTAGGTACCTGCAGGAAACGTCCCAGTGAAACCAGGTGGGCGGCGCAGCCAGATCTCCTCGTGCAGGCTGCACTGCAGGAAAGCTGTGCTGAAGTCCAGAGAGTGCAACTCCTAGTCACGCTGAGCAGCGACGTGCAGCAACACCCGAAGAGTAGTCATCTTCGGGGTGGGGGAGAAGGTCTGGAAGTAGTAAACTCCTTGTCGCTGACTGAAGCCTCGAGCAACGTAACGCGCCTTGAAGGCAGGCAGGGAACCCGGTGGCCGCTTCACCCTGAAAATCCACATGCCATCGACTATGTTCGCCCGAGACGGGGGAACTTGATCGACGTAGGTGCCTATGGACTTCCAGGATGCCATCTCGGTATCCATAGCTGCCTGCCACTGAGAGGAGTAAGGACCCGTAATCGCCTCTGCGTAAGAGCGCGGGGTCGGGATGTCTGGTGCATCCAAGTCTCCCTCAGGGGCAAGCAGCATGGAAGCGAAACGAGGTACAGCAGCTGCAAGACACTCAAAGTCCTCCTGCCTGTCCTCAAGGACGTCCGTGCCAAGAGCACACTCACCCCCGACGGACGGAGGACTGGCCGACACAGACGCAGCAACTAGAGCAGTTGCGTACTCGAGACGGCAGGTAGCAGAAAAGTCAAGCAGCTCAGCAACGAGAGCAGACGCAACAGCGGTCTCAAAGAAAGGGTCAGTGACAGCAGTGGCGAGGAGACGAGAGACAGTGGGACTGGCAGCACGAGCGCGGTCAGACGCAGGGTTAGGGATCTCAGGAAGAGAGGACTTAGGAGGAGCAGGCAGAGGAACACGGAGTGGAACAGAGGAAGGACGGAGTGCCATAGCATGCGTGCCGGGGACAGGAGGAGGACGCGAACGAGGAGCGCGACGAGCAGTGCGAACAGGCAAGACAGGACGAGACGCAGGCTCGCGACGCTCTGTAAGACCGCGAGACTGCTCAGTGTAAGGGAGGGAGCAGGCAGTGGGGAGGCTGGCTGTAACGGCAGCTGCAACTGGTCAGGCGGTGGACACAGGAAGGGAGGAGGAAGACCAGTAGAAGACGGGACACCAAGAACCTGCTGAAGCAGGGGAACGAAGTACGATCGCGGCCGCACAGTGCCTCCAGCACCTCCAGTGCCATGGTCAACAGCTCCAGCTCCTGCAGCTCAAGCGCCTCCGGCACCAGTGCCTCCAACTCCAGCTCCTACAGCTCCAGCGCCTGCTGCGCCAGGGCCTCCAACTCCAGCTCCTCCAGCTCCAGCGCCTCCAGCGCCAGCTGCTCCAGGCTCCGTAGGGTCTCCAGCTCCAGCGCACCCAACACCACCAGTCCCGGCAGCTCCAGCACCACTGGTACGAGCACCTCCAGGACCAGTAGCCGCAGTACCTCCAGTACCGCCAGCTCCAGTAGTAACAGCAGCACCTCCACCTCCAGTGTCTCCAGCGCCTCCAGCTCCGGGAGCTCCACTCCGATGGTGTGCGCGTCGAACAAGCCACTCACGCAGCTGCTGCGAGGACAGTCGCGGCGAAGCATCAGCAGGACCTCCACACGAAGCAGCACCCCGAGGCGCAGCATCCCCAGACTCCACACCCTTCGACTCAGCACCCCCAGGCTAAACACCCCCACGCTCAGCACCCCCAGACCCAGCACCCTCAGACCCCGCACCCCCAGGCGCAGCACCTGGAGCAGCACCTGAGCGGACAGCTACCTGAACAGGCGCAGTACCAGGGAGAGGGTCTACCTGAGACACACCCGAGGGAGCTGGACCCTGGGGCGGGAGGGGGTCCACCGGAGGTGGACCGGGAGCAAGGAAGAGCGGCGGGGGCAGGGGAGGGGCAGAGCGGTAGGGGAAGAGATGGTAGAAGGGAACTGGC